CCACACCACCTCGACAGGAGAACCTCACCACCTCAACTCGCCTTTCACATTCTAACAGTTAGAAATATTTGTCTCTCAACATGGAACCTCAGCCCCCAACCTCGCTCAATACCCAAACCCTCCCCCCACCCATAACCAACGCCGAAGTCGTTTTACCAGCACCACCCGAGATTGAGCTATTTACTACTAACCGTGACGACATGGACGACTACGTACAAGCATTTGGCGCTCACAAGCACGGGTATAACATACGAAAAGGAAACTCGTCAACTGGCCTCATCTGCCATTATCATTGTCATCGAGGTGGCTATCCGCCTGTCGTCAAGGGACGCAAGCAACCAACACGATCAGGCCGAATCGGCTGCAAATTCAAGATGACAGCTCGAATCAATCACACAAACCAGTCCTGGATGCTGATTCATATTCATCTTGGACACAATCACGACCCCGATCACACAGTCAAACCGCGAAACAGACGACCCAAGTCCAAAGCGACTAAACTTGACACCACAAAACTTGAACCTCACACTACACACTCAATTTCTGACAATACCTCCCAAGAAGCATCTCGAAACCTCGAAACTTCCAATTCTAACCAAGTTGACGCTTCGATTCAACACCATAACGATACATCACTGCAAATGACGCTGGATCATGTCGCTGCACGACTCAATGCCATGTCACCAACCACAAGGCAGCAAAAGCTTAATCAAATCAATTGTATAATCAGCGAACCTCCGAGGATTTCAGCCCCAGAGTCTGTGATCCAAATCAAAGAACATGAACACTACCTGTTTGATGTAGAACCAAGGCAAGGAAATACATCAGTCAGTATTCATATAAACTAACTATGTATTCAGGTAAAGTTGTGCTGACTCGCCTCACTTACAGATTGATCGAATGATTGAGGACTTCTTAGGCCCTTTTTCTGATCACGATTCACAGGAAAATTCACAAATTCAAGCAGCAATCGCAATCGACCTAATCCCCGTTGCAGCCTCTCCACCCCAACAACCCCAACAACGCAACTCACCCTCACCAGCATGTCTTGACGCTGAAGAAAACTCGAAAACCAATATCAACAATAAGAGCACCGAGACAAATGCCACTGAGGCAACCGATGATCCAAGTGCTGTAAATCTAAAACCATCAATTCAAACCGTACCCAAAGTAAGTGATCAGCCTCTGTTAATCTCAAGCATTTGATGAAATTTGACGTGTCATGCATGCTGTGTAGAAAACCAGCAGTCCCTCGCGACTCATCCCACTTGAAACCAACACTCCCCCTCAAGTGGTTACACGCCACCGGCTTCGCAATTGTGCTCTCTCGCTGAAACCTCCACCTAACCCCTCACTTCCGGCCCTATTGGCCAAATACAATATTAATACATGGCTCACACCGTTTATCACCGATATCCACGAAGTTAAAGCTGATGGCCATTGTGGTTTTCGAGCAATTGCCGCATCCCTTGGTCGTTCACAAGAAGACTGGCAATTTGTACGCCAGAGCATGGTGGCGACTTTGGAACAACATCCTGAGACCTTTACCGAAAAACACCTACCTGGTACTCGATCCGAAGCTCTAGCACGACTCCGTACCGACAAGGTCAACGTTGTTTTTGAACAACAACACTGGCTCTCGATGCCAGGTTTTGGAGGACTGATTGCTACAACTTTCGACCGACCTGTAATCTACTATGACCCCGCTGGCTCTAGTATGGTCACATTTCCGTACCTTTCACCACCCAACCAGAACCCCCCTATTGTCATCGCATTCTACAACCTCCACTTCTGCTCACTAACATTGGATTACACTCTCACCGATCTTCCAGTACCGCGACTGGATCCCTCCTGGCGCCGACACCACTCGCTGAACGCCTCGACCTGGTCAGACAGGTGGACACCCCTTATTGAGAAGCACACTGCATTTTTAAGCCAACATCATGTAAAACGCAAGTCAAAAAGGCGTAAGCAGGCGTCTCCTATATCCATCGACTAATATCACCATCATGACATAATTCCTTGCTTCTATTTTCAAAGAATGCTCTTTCCACTTGGTTTCAAATGTTGGGGTCATCGGTTTTCATTTTCCAATCTCTTGATTTGTTATGTTTGTTTTGTTCCAATCAATGATTATTTGAAATTCTTCGAAATCGGCTTGTTTGTCTATCCTAAACATCATTCTTACATAGTAAATTTAGTTAAATGTTGTTGAACAAAACAATTCAAGAGTCGATCAATGATGAGTGATTCATTCCTTGAACATCATTTTGATAGTCATATCATTTCCATAGAGGAACTCGCCTGTATCTTGATTGATGACTTACAGTATCCAACTAAAAAACTTACACAAGAGTTTGATAATGAATGATTCGATTGCAATTTGTAATGATTCAATCACCTTCATTAAGTGGTACATTCAATCATTCTCATTGCATATTTGGAACTTAGGGTAGTTACTATCTCAAAAATGTTTCATTATAATAGTCGATCATACAATCAAACATCTCATCATCCCAAGTATGAGTATGAGACTATATGACATGAGAAGATGATTATGCAGCCCCAAAAGATCATTCATCCTCCTCATCCTCCGCACCACCTGCCTCCCCATGACCTTGCTCCTCCACCCAGATGATTCTAACACCTAATACGGCTTCCCATTGTCCCGCTGTCGCAGCAACCATTCCTGTCCAGTCCTGTAATAGGTTCACATCTAGAGCATTACTTCCTTCTACATATTGAGCTGTAGAATGCAAAATTTTGACCAAAGCGTTGTCCCATCGCTTCCAAAGCCGACATGTACGTTTGGCGAGTCCACTATGCAGAGACTCCCATTCAAGCTGTTGATCGTGGCCTGGACAAAGAATGTATCAATAATGTATCAATAGTGTCCAATGCGATGATATTGAATGTCAGATGAAGCAAAGATTTACCTTCAGCCGCATTTGGCTTTGCTCTAACAACGCGCGATTGATAGTCGATCCCCCACAACATGAGTTGTCTACACTCTCGCCCTAAACACCGCAATTCTTCTTCACATGATCTCTGACTACGAAATGCTACAATCCCTTCTTTGGTGCTCTTGCAACTGGCCCATGGCTCGTCAGGGTGATTCAATGCACCCGCATTCCAGAATGGATCAAGTAGATCCATTCCCAGAACCTCCTCAAAAGTAGGTTCGAGCAGCCTCTGTGCTGGTTCAAACCGAATGTTGTACTTAGTTGCATGTCGTAGATAGGTTGCAGTCTTCTTTTTCAAGATGCCATGCTTCTTTGCGCGGAGCTGTTCATTGCGAGGCTGCTGTTTTGCACCTTGTCAAATTGTATCATAGATATTAGTGCGATAATGCGATCAAAGTGGATAAAGTAAGATTATATCGTTCACCTGTCTTATTCTTGGCATCAGCTTCTTGCTGGATGACATCGAACTTCGCTTCGTACAACAGACCCAGCGCCACCTGCACCACGAGACACGCCTTGATTTGGCCATCTACAACCACACAAATCGAACCCCATATATCAGTCTGTTATAAGCAAAACAAAAAATCGGCACGTAATGTTATGAAACAAACCTTCACCACCCCGAGCATTCAAAAGCTCAGCATTACCCAGCTCCTCCGCAACATCTTGTATTTGCGCCTCCAAATTTGCCAAAGACAAAGGCAAATTTGTCAGTTCATGCTGTTGTTCCTGAGTTCTAATGGGCGCATGGATAGCGTCAAGGTCGGCCATCTCCTGACTACAGTCCCATTGTAAAGCAGTTGGTCAGACACTCTCAGCTCATTGCAAAAGTGATATCATGATAGATGGAACTCACCGAGCCTCAAGCATGTTCTCCTCTAGCTTGAGGAGCACCTTGAGTCGTTCTCGTTTCTCTTTGACTCTCACGTTGATTGCTCGCAATTGGATTTCCCGCTGTCGCTCCCATTGTTGCTCGAAATAATCTGTTGTATGAGTGGCATTTGCCCGCGCAAGCCTTCCTAAAATCGCCTGTGCTTGAACAAGCTCGGCCTTATACTTTTCCGTTTGTGAGGCCATGTACGACACTTTGGTTATTGAGAGTCAACGGTGTTAGTTTTGTCTATGGGATTGGAATCACACACTTACTTAACTGACCTGCTCGATCCCTCTGGACGATGTTCTGATGGGAAGTCCATAAATCCAGGCTTACCAAGCGCCGCTGTTTGGTTGCATATCGGTTAGGCTTGATCAAACGGGAGTTCTTGAACCATACCCGTTCCAGCCCTTCGCCGTTCGATTTACCCGTACCTGGTAAAAGCCGAGGGTTGTACTCGAGCTGACACCCCCAATTGTGCGCATAAGAATGGAACAAAGCCGTCGCAAGCCTCAATCGATTCGCTGCTCGCTCGTCAGGAAAGAAATTACGCTAGCAAAATCAAAGTCCAAAGTCAGTTAGTCAGTTGAAATCTTCATTATACTTCATTCATCAGTATACAATTACATTCTTAATGGATTTGTCCAAATTGCATCCAATGTCGTATAAGACCAGGACTTTATTGGTATGTTCGCGGTTGTGGGCTAGGATATCAAGGATCCACTTGATCATTGCAAGTGCGTAATAAGATCTACAACAGTAATAGTCAGCCTCATATTGATGATATGTAAACAACCAAAAAGGTGAGGAGAGTCACATACTTCTCACCACTCTGCGTCAAATTGATGTATTGCAAGAGATGGTCGTGACGACACGCCATGCCAATCAACCCCGACTCATCCATGTTTTTGAAATATCCTTTACCTCGGCCATCATCGGCCGCTTTGTGCGCTTCAGTACACTGGTCCTGTATATATGGATTCATCAGATCCATCCACTCATCATTCATGTTATTAATGAAACGGACCACTTCTTCATCCTCACCATCTTGAGCTTGAGACCGATTCCATTGCCGTGCCATGTGTTGAACTGCCTTTGGATCCAAGAAGATATCGGGTCGGGGAGGCTGAGATCCAGGTATGGTGACACTGGCTTTTGCATGCCGACGATGCTGAAAGTTTCCATCCAAACAAATTGTCACATCGGGCTCTTCAGGCCTTGTGATACCCACGGGAGGCCCAAAGCACTTAGGGCAGTTCGCCGCAAGGATACCTAATTCGGATAGTTCCATCTTTTGATATTCGAGGGTTCTGATTTGCAGTAGAATGGCGCGATATGTGTCTATTGAATCGGTAAATGGGATGCGCCAGTCTCGCGGCTGCAAGTCATGTCAGTTCAGAGCGGCCACTAACTAGGCAGATGGTGATAACTTACTTGTAAGGTTTTGCGACAGAGAATGAGTGGGCTGAACGAATCTAGGATATCGTCCAACGCCTCGCAGAAACCTTGGGTTGGAACAGCGCATCTTAGCCATATAGCATGGTGATGCACCATCAATCGTACTGAAAATGCGGTTTCAGGACGAACTGGAGACGCCCCAATGTAACCCATTAGTAACAGCCTGACCATGTCGGATGGATCACACCGTTTGCAAAACCTTATCTTGACACGTTGCCTACCTGTAAAAAATCCGTCAGTATCTTGTTGATCGCAGTGAACTCGTGGTTTGCTAACTCATAACATCCACAAGGTCAACCTCGCGCTCAGTCGCATTGGAACAGTTGCATGGTCCTCGAAAGTCGTGGTCCCAATTTGCATGATTACCCCAGTTGGAAGTTAGCAATCGACACCGCAGAAACGTAGGTAACATGATGGCGTATTGCCATGCCCATCGTTCCTCGTGAATCAGCCGGTTTCGAAGATGTAGATCTCGTCGCAATCCAAGTATTACCGGGTCTTCGGGTTGATTAGGAAGTGCCGGTGGCCTCGGCATGAATTCAAGGGGGTCTATCACATAGTTGTTACGGTCATCGTCGTCGTCTTCGACTCCTTCAGGGTCATCCAATGGGTCAGGATGGGGGGGAAACATGGGTTGATCAAAAGGTATTTTGTATCCCGGACGTGGGATGTCAATTCTAGCCCGCTCGGCCAGGCGTTGCTCCAAAAGCGTCAGCCTTCTCTGCAGTGCAGCATTGGCCTTTAAGGCTTGCTCGAGTTCGCGTGCTTGTTGAGCTACCAGTTCGCGCTGACGATTCGTTACAGGCTTAGGCTGTTTTGGTCGAGTGTTCATCCCCCGAATAATGCGAATAGAAACCATGATCAGTTATATATGAGCGAAAATGGATGAGTGTGGATGAGAAATGTCAAAAACAAATTGCGGTAAGGATATCACAAACCCCTTTACTCATCGGTTTCTTGCCAAAGTTTGATCCGTTGGCCACAACTGTACACATCGGGGTTCAACCCGCCTTTCGGGAAAACAAAGCAAGGTAACCGATCCGAGATGTAATGCATATTCCCATATGATGTTATGTTATCGTCCCTTGTATGATGGTCACTGCATTATACAACTGGTGCATCAATTCATGAATAAGTCAATGTCATGATCCGTTTCATGAAAGAATTACATGAGAAACTCACTGCCCATTGTTTCGCGCATATCTTCAGCCAAAGGGTAGTTTGAATGTAACATGGTATATCTTTGATACTAAGGCCAACTTCTAGGACAAACGCAGAAGCATATAATAAGATATCATTATATTATTAAATCGTATTGTTTTCATTGGAAACTTGAAGGAAGTGTCAATAATAACACACATGAAGGAAATATAATAGATCATTCTTCGATTGTTTCAATAAAAGTTGATAGTTGATTATATATCATAAAACTTCTTATATAAATGAACTTATATGTTGATTGCATTCGCTAAATTGATTTGGTAAATGTTGATCACTTGTATATGAAAGAACATATATATAGAAGTAAATATCTTGATTTGATTCGCTGGAATAGATTGGTAAATGATTATAACATGAGATATAATTGAATATATATCTTGATTTGTTTATCTTGATTTGATCCCCAAAGGAAATCGAGTCTGGCTAGCATCCTGAACTCAAACAGTGATTATATATCATAAAACTTGTTATATAATTGTATATGTTGAATTGAACTTCTTATATAAATGAACTTATATGTTGATTGCATTCGCTAAATTGATTTGGTAAATGTTGATCACTTGTATATGAAAGAACATATATATAGAAGTAAATATCTTGATTTGATTCGCTAAAATGGATTGGTAAATGATTATAACAATATATATAATTGAATATATATCTTGATTTGTTTATCTTGATTTGATCCCCAAAGGAAATCGAGTCTAGCTACCATCCTGAACTCGAACAGTGATTATATATCATAAAACTTGTTATATAAATGTATATCTTGAATTGATTATCTGGAATTGATTAAATGATTATATATCATGATCCTGAACTCGAACAATGATATATGTTGAATTGATTATCTAGAATTGATTAAATGATTATATATCATGATCCTGAACTCGAACAATGACATATCTTGAATTATATAAATGTATATCATGAATTGATTATCTGGAATTGATTAAATGATTATATATCATGAACCTGAACTCGAACAATGATATATGTTGAATTGATTATCTAGAATTGATTAAATGATTATATATCATGATCCTGAACTCGAACAATGACATATCTTGAATTATATAAATGTATATCATGAATTGATTATCTGGAATTGATTAAATGATTATATATCATGATCCTGAACTCGAACAATGATATTTCTTGAATTGATTCTCTAGAATTGATTAAATGATTATATATCATGATTATCTTGGAATGATTCGCTCAAATGAAATGGTAAATGATTGTATATCATAAAACTAGGCATAAATTTTCGTTGTTTTATATTGATTTGGTTCGGTTCCAAAAGGAATATGAGGTTAGGTAGAAATTCATGATGGCAAATTGAAAATGAAGTGAATCGGTCTCGTGGTGGAGGTGGTATCATTTCAGTGAGATCAGTCGTCGACTCGGTTACTTCTGGATTGCCAAGTTCGCTGAGAGATAATTGCCAAGTGACTATAACTTAAACACCTTGTGACCTTGTGGTTGAGTTGCTGATACAATGATGGGGCCGGTGTGGTGCATGGAATAAGTGAAAGTAAATTGGTAATTTAAAGTTGATATATCAGGTAGCATCCTGAATTCTTATTCATGATAGCAAATCCAAGTGAATCGGTTTCGTGGTGGTGGCGAGATCATTTCAGTGATATCATTCCTTGACTCGTTTGGTTCGCAAGAACACTTGCAGTTCAGTCGAGGAGAATGATTCAACAACACAACCCACAAGGAAGGCAGTACTCAGGTGAATTAACAACGTTAGCGATGCGCCGATAGCTTGTGTTTGGTGCTCTGGATGCAAGAACTTTGCAAGTCACACGAGGACTTCATGTCGACGAACTATGAGCTGTACCACACATGATCTTATCGCCGCTTCCCACATGGCAATTCAATTTAATGCTATTTATGCTCACCGACCGAAGTTTTATGATGTTTCGCTGCATTTAAATATCTTCATCATATGTTTTGTATCATTAAGTTTTTTCCGCAACGTACATACAATATTGAACAATGAAGAACCAATATTGAATGACACCAGCTTTCAAAGGTTCTGATAGATTTAATAAATTCGAAGTCTTGAATTCCTATGGCATCCATACATATAAATAATGCTGGAAATGAAACTGCTTGAATCGAGTAAAGTCCCATTTTGGTGAGCACTTTGAGTAACATGCTGAATATATAGCCAAATATAAAAGATGTTCCATTGTGACTTCAGCTAAATCCGCTCGACTGACAGTTATATTGTATTTTTGAGGCTCTTGGAGCAAATGTAAGATGAGGATATTGGCCATCTCGGCACCATGCAATTGGTGTAGCAAGATGAACATGAACAAATCTTTGCATGTTTGGATGCGCTTAATATCTACAAACTTTAGTGGGAATTAGAGTTTGACCCAAATTGACCCACCTGCAGCCACATTCTTTCATGATCACCAAAGAGTCTTGATGTTTCACTGTGATTGATCTTTTTGCATTATTTATTTAATGTTGGAGAGTGACTTGCATTTATATTAGAAGTACTGTGAGTATTACTATACAATTGAAATGATCACCAGACTTAAGAGATATAATGGTGAATGTATAATGGTGAATGTCAAAGCTCCCATCATTTCCTTTAATGTGTTGCGTTGTGATTATGAAAAATCCATCATGAACAATTTTTCCTCTTAACATTGCTTTATGATTCCAAAATGATGTCAAATACTGATGATGAGCATGTTGCATCACTCCCAATGGATATTGATGATTTCAGCCTGTTTTCAATCAAGTAAACTTGCATTGTGATACAAGAATAAAATAAACCATCAAGTGATGATTTGGTTTGGACCAAATTCTACATATGCTTATCTTTGAATGAGTCAAATAAATGCTCAAGTTTAACTTTGCAACATTGGTTCACAAAATCATGTCATCCATGGGATTTCAAAAAAGCGATACATGCTTATTTTAAAACACACGCTTGAAAACCAAAGGTAAGCTATAATATTGCAACTGCTCACTTTGGTCTGAATTATTTGGAGATGGGAGATAAGTATCATCACCATACAATCAACAAAGAATGTAACACCAACAATCAAGAAACAATCAAAAACAGTTTCACTTGAAACTGTTCCAACCACAAGGTCACATGAATCTTTATTATTTTAGTAAAAACGCTTGGACAACAAAGGTAATATAAATCTTTATTATTTTAGTAGCAGTAGAGACGCTTGGAAGAACAACATAAGATGATTCTATTTTAGTAGAGACGCTAGGAATAACAAGTTTATATGATTCTTTAGTATTTTAGCAGGAACGCTTGGAAAAAGGGTGATTTGGGTATGAGTGAGCTAAATTCAATGCACCTGCAGCCTCACGTGCTTCATGTGCCTTATTTGCTGCCTCCTCCGCTGCCTCTTTTGCAGCCTGGTATACTCGAACCTCATCTCGATATTTCTCTTTCAAGCGCTTTTTTTCGTCTTCAAATATTGTCAGTGATCGTGAGAGCAAAAAACCTGCTGGATAAAATGGGATCCAAAGGTTGTGGTCACTGAAGACCTTAGGATTTTGGTGCATTCCAGAAAATCGAGCAGCACCAGCGAAAACGTCTGCATGGCTATAGATTGCCATGCAGATCCTTTGAGGTGGACAATCGCCGCGGTTTGGGAGTCGGGTGATTTGTCCAACTCCATGCATGAGTATGTCGAAAGCACCATGAACGGAATAACCGGGTCCTCCATGAAGCGCATAGCCCAGATAGTTGAGGATTAATTCGCCCCCCCATAGTTTTCGCCAAAGAAGTTAGCGGAGGCAAACAAATTTGTGTTGTTGCCATCACGATGGTGATCGACCTGCATACCGAACATCGTGTGCCTGCCTGGAATATGCACAAGTGAATGTTAGCCAGAGTCTTGAACATTATCAAGAGCAAGCTTAACATACCAATACCGACAGGGTTCACCAGATCCTTCACTTCGCGAGCCGCAGCTGGCGTTCCTTTGGTGACAATCACGCGTAGCGCCCTCATTGCAGCCGAGTAAGAATCGGGCTGGAAAGCTTTGATGATGAGCCTTCCCATTTCAAGGTACCATAGGAGCTCAGAATCCATACGCGCGTGATCCTCACGCTTATATGCGTGTTCCTTACCCATCTGAATAATGTAAGGAAGGTTGTAATGGCTGATGTCGGCTTTATCCCACCCAGATAAAGGATGCCCCTGGCGATTTGCGCCCAATCTCAATTGCGTGTCTGACATGCCAGTGGCTAGGTTCTACGCATAAAGACAAGAAATTGGTGCAATCAGCACAACCATCTTAGGTTTAGAAATGGAGCAATTGTTCAACAAAGGTTCGTTGAACAATTAGGAATCACCTACAGAATATCGTCCGTACCCAACGGCCTGCGAAGGTAAAGCTCCATTGAGCGTACCAGGGACTTCTATGAACCTGTTATCCGCACCACTGAGTAGAATGCTAGCTTGTTCAGATACCTGAAATGGACTCTGTGCATTTGGACGAGGCGGATGAGACGTGAGGGTGAACGTTTCAAACGTCATCGGGCCGATGAAAGGGGTGAGATCGTGGACTTCAGCAGCGCCATCGAAAGCAATGCGACCACGTTTCTATAGAGATCAGCAGTAGCAGTGGAAGATAAAACGATGATAAGACAAAATGATAATCAGTGACACACAGGAAAAGAGATGTGAAATAGCATGTTTGACTTACATAACCACTGAGCGTCTTTGCAAGATGGCTCGGTTCCTTTGGTGGGACACCAACAGCTGCAACTCGACCGGCCAGATCGATAAAGATAACTGCTTCGCCTTCTCCTACGATTTCAGGCGAAATGGAGCGCTGGATGGCCAGGTTGTTCAGGGAAGTGAGGTTGGGAAATCGGAGTGCGAAAGGCTTCGGGCCGGAAGGACAAGTGGCGTACTCGTTGAGCGTTTGTTTGATGTGATAAGCACATTGAAGAATGCTGTCTTGCCGACCATTCAGGGGTTCAAGAAGAGAGAAGTTGTCTAAGACCTTGTTGACGCTTATAGGAATGTCTCCAAGCTGGAGATGATTGACTTGTTGCAAGAAGAACGCGACCGCCATGTCAAAGTCAACAGGAATGACCCTGGCAGTCTCAAAAACACCCTTGAGATAGTCAGCCACCATGGAACGACGCCGATACACACTACGGAATTCATGAGCCGGGATATCGGGCCTTAAGTGCTTGGAAATCTCGTGAGTGCGAAGCTTGGCTTTCTTTCCAGGGCGCTTGGTCTTAGATGGTTTTAAACTAGCAACAACTTTCGTTTTTTTTGCAGGAGGAGCGCTTTGGGATCTTCAACATATAGCAAGATTTGGAATAGTAAGCATCTTGAGCGGAATAGTAAGCATCTTGACCGATAAGTTGGAGCCGATCTGCTTACCTGATGATGGGCGGGCCGGCTCCTTCTAGATCCGATAGGTCGGTGAGCTCTGATTCGTTTCCTGTGTCGATTTCCAGTGGCTAGGTTTTGAGGTCGATTTGTCAGCCAGTTGGGGTTGTGTATGAAATGAAGGAAAAACATGAGTTAGCTTGGGCTCTGGTTGAAATACGATCCTCTTGCTTCATGCATTCAGAAGCACATCCGGATGCCTTGAATGCATGATACACAGGAATGAAGTTCAGAGATCCGGCTAAGAATGGATGATTCCTGGCACAAGAGATATCGCATTAGAGAGGACTAGGAGAAGTAACGAACCATAGCTTGTGAAATGTGCCCTTTGGTGGTGTGTGTAGGGGGTGCTTGAAGTTGTTGCATGGTGGAATGAGTCGGCAGGTGGCGCAGGTTTGGGGTGGTGCTGTTGTTCAACTGTTGAAGGTCGGTTCTGGGTGTAGACGTGACTTGCTTAGAAAATGACAACAGCGGTACCGGTACATCATCTCTTTTCGCGGTACCGGTACCTGTACTCTTCCATCCGTACCGGTACATAGGTTTAAATTGGTGAGGACGCAATCTTTGGTCGTGCGTGCGCCTCGGCCCTTCACAGACGCATTTGGAGCATGCATCAATTGCATGCATGCACAGTCATCAAAGATTCAGACATACTCCATGTATGAATCCCTGATTTAATGAATAACCTACGCCCTAGCGAACAGAGTTCTGATGCTTTAAGACCGACAAGCTTTATGATATTTGTTTGACAGTTGATTTATCCTTTGTATGGTTATGGTTTGATTATACAGTGTGTGCAATCAAGGTCAAGTGCAATCAATATAAAGCATTTTGCATTATAAAATCGCCCCATTATTCAAGCTTGGCTTTGGGTAGCTATCTTCACTACTTTGAAAAACGATGAAGAAGAAACCAGAATTTAAAACATATAAAGTTGAAAATGCGTCTTTCAATGACTTTTCAAATATTGAAAAAAATTAAAAGATAAGGATGGACATATATATATTTATTTATGTTTGAGGTGAGAGTGCAATATAAAACTTCACATATTGGCACTATATTGCAGGGACTAACCAAAAGAGATTTCAAAAAGTCAATTTTACAATGAGTCGGTCGAAAAACTAATTAAGCTGCTTAAACTGAAAAAGAAAGAAGTAAAAGATTTATTTAATTTGGGTCTCTTCAGTCTGTACAAATTATAACTTGCCTGTGTTCAAATGGTTTTGTCTTCATTGTTTTTAATTAGTTAATCCCTCTTGAGGTTCAGTTTCTTCATCGTCAAGTGCAGCTTCTGCTTCTGTAAGACCATCTTTCCTTTTCCTTTTGCTGTCTGTTGCAATCTTGATGATCTTGTATCGCTCGAAGTTGATGTCGTCAAGCCATAGCTGGACTTCTTCGTTTGACAACCGACTAGGGCCCTTGGCTATCATCTCATCGCTGACTAAACTATCTGGGGTTTGATGAAAAGTCAGTTTGACTCCTCCACGGAACGTCTTCCTAGCAAATCCTTCTTTCAACTTGGGGACTTTTGGGTGGGCGTCACTTTGACCTGGTACACCGCGAGTGAGGAACGGAACTACATACCAAAACCTTTCGTTGGTCAGCCGTGAAATTGTAGAATGGTAAATCGAGAGAAAGACTTAACTGATCAATGAATTGAGCGCTTGTGTAAGCTCACTCCGCTTTTCCGCTTGACGTTGTGCACCAGCGGACAGGGCCTTGGTCGTGCCCAGCGTTTGTTCTGTGGAACGGAGGTGTTCGGGAGCCTTAGTTGCCTCGAAGGAAAAGCGCTCGAGGAGATGCACCTTTTTCTCTTGACGGACCCAGCGTTGGCACGATGTGTGCTCGTCCTGAAAAAGCGCTTGAGTTGTTGAGGTATCAGGGTTCCAGCACGCTAGGAGCAGGTGAAATTGGAGGTTGAATTGATTCTTCAAGACATGAAGCTGTAACAGGGTGGTACACACATACAATGCACGATATCAGGTTTTGTCTTGGACTATTACATATTCGAGTGTGATAGGATGAGCGAGTGCAATAGGATTAGATGACTGACCTGGCGGGCCACCTTACTGATTTCGAGCTTCATGAGTTGTTCCCGGCTCCGACAGCGAAATTTTGCACTGTGTCTCCAGAGGCGACCTTCGTGTAAATCGCCTGAGACTTTGTTTAGGTTGACGAGGCGCTTGAATATGGGAACATAAGTAGTCACCTCTTCATTGCTGAGCGGTTTAAAGCTTGATTTTGGTTGGGCTGGTGCTTTGGACGTGTCTTGATCTGCGACAGAAGGTATTCCCCTTGGTGTTTGAGTTAGTGCGTAAGCTTCGCTTGTGGTGACACACAATCGCTCGAAAAGTTCAGGGCTGAACACTTTCTGCTCGTCTTCCAGGTATGTAGACCAGGTGTTGCCGACAACAGTGTTTCGCTCACCAAACCCTTCAGATACTCCCTTTGCTGGGACTACAGACAAATAAATCCAAAGTAAGGTGTCATTAGGTTTGAGCAATGGTTAATGAGATTGGAAGTTGACTCACTCTGGGTAGTGGTGGCTGGTATACTGTACTTTTGATAGTTGGTGTATGCGTTGGGTTCACGAGCCAGCGGCCCTTCCAATCTGGAAAAGTAAGGTGGGTGTGTTTCAGATAAGGAACTAGATTTGGTCGTCTGATGGGAAGACGTTGGACTTACAAGGCCTCGTCGAGTACATGCCGACTGCATTTGAGTACTATGCATAGCATGGTCTTGTCCAACTGGTAGGCTGCTTGCAAAGCCTGCGCTTCAAAGACGCCTGTTGCCGAAGGCCGGTTGTTTTTGGGAATTGAGGCACTAGATAAGACTTCTTCTGCGCGTACTGCCCCCCACTGGACCCCAAGTTCATGAAAGTTGTCAAGAGTCGGGCGAGCGACTGATTCACCAGACTCAAGACTGATTTCATCAGTGAGATCCGGCATTGTGATGTCAGTATCGTTGGGGGGGAGTTCGTTTTCATCGTTTGTTCTAGTTCGCTTTTGACGTCCAACACGCGCAACAGATGATCCAGTATGGCCTCCTCGCTGGGCACCACGGGTTTGGCGTCCTCGTCGGTTGGAAGGGGGTGCATAGTTTTCTTCCGAATCCGAGCTTGGGTATGACTGTGAGGGAAGTGACGCAGCATCGTCTTGACCTGGTTGCTCGTTACTACGTAGTCCTGGACGCATTAGATCGGTGATGGGTGTGTGAGGTAAACGATGCGTTGAGAGTTGGGAAGGTTGGGAATGGTTGAAAGAATGAGAGAGTGGACAACGATGTGGTGATTGCGAGTTAGGGTTCAATTTGGTGGCTTTGGATAGGTAGATTGGGTAATTTCGGAACCGGACTAAGAAGGTAAGATTTTTGTGTGGGGTGGTAAGAATTGGGGTGTAGGCGGTGAAAAAACCGCTGAGGTGGTAGCAATCAGGAATGTGGTATAAAATTGCAACAGTAGATGTAAGGGTGGTGACTTACATAAGGTGAGGTGGTGATATATTTTATGAAGTTGTGAGAGTGTATGTACTGGTGGTGATATATGAGATGAGGTGGTGAGGCTGGTGGAATTTGGGTGCGAGCTGGTAAGATTTTTTTTATAGGTGGTCAAATATGAATTGTAGTGGTGAGAAGTGTATGTAGAGGTGGTGAGAAATTGATTGGGTTTTTGAATAGGGTAAGGGTGCTACCTTGATGAATGAGGGACTTGGAGAAATTTTGAATTCATGCTTAGCGGCCTCTATCCAGCTAGACATTTCTATTGACTCGCATACGGACTGGGTGCGTAGATAGCATGTACAGTTTCGTCCAATACACTTGGTGCGTTTACATACACACAGGTGCCTTTTCATAGGAGGGAAGACTGTAAGACCTACGGTCATTACATTACACATAGATCAAAATACTTAATAATTAGGACTTAAACTTAAGGATGCTGTTTCGTTATATATATTGTTTTCAAATTCTACTCCTGGTTCCTTAGTGATCTGGGACTGACTTCCCACCTCATATCCTTCGGAACCAGGTACGTCTTATTTCTTTTCATTTTCTCTTACTTTGTTCTATAGTTGTGGTTATGATGGTTAGAGTGATCTGGGACTGACTTCCCACCTCATATCCTTCGGAACCAGTCTCCTTTACTGGGATCTCTGTTGGTTTGAAATATAAAAAGTCTCTTGGGTTCTAGAAACCCTGTCCCGCTGTGCCTCACAGCGTCCCTGTTATTGTGATCTCGAGTGAAGGTCATACAGACCTTACATCTGCCACTGCTAAAACCAAGGCATCTTCAGGAAAAATCGACGGTTGGTTGGTAGACTCAGGAACATCTCAAATCATGACTCCGTTCTCTGATGTTATAACCAATAAGAAATCAGATGATACAACCATAAGCTTGGCGAATGGAACAATTGTCAAATCTATGTCTAAAGGCTTCGTATCATTGCCATTTTTGGATTTTGATGACATTAAATCATTATATGTACCATCTCTCTCTGAACCACTCCTCTCGGTCTTGAAATTAGCCGGCAAAAATATTTCAACTGTCTTCAATTCATCGACTGTCTCTTTTGTTAAAAACTGCAAGATCTCTGGTGACGTGATTGGAACTGGTCAACAACATGGCAACTTATATTATCTCAACCAAGAGGTACGTCATTCAAAATCTCCCAATCATACGTCAAAAGCCATGGTCTCTGACGTTCACTTGTGGCATCTTAGATTTAATCATCCTGGCTATGCAGCTCTTAAACAAAAACTATCTTCACTTAACATCAAAGTGGATGAGAAGGAGTTACGTAAGTTGCAAACTTGTAACATATGTATTCAAGGGAAAATGAGACGTTGAAATATGTCAAGTCGTACTGGTTGGAGATCTACTAAACCTTTGAGTGTAATCCATTCCGATGTATCGTCGTATTCTGATGTATCTCGAAAAGGATTTAAATATTTTGTGACATTTATTGATGATTATACAAGATTTACTAAAATTTATTTAATGAAAACAAAAGACGAAGTTCTTTCAAAATTAAAATAATTCTTTAATGAGATGACAACTAAGGTTGATGGAGTGATTGCCGAGTTACGTTCTGACAATGGTACTGAATACATCAACAAAGAGTTTAGTTTGTTCTGTTCACAGAATGGTGTTACACAAACCACTGGACCACCTGATTCACCACAATTAAATGGTGTAGCTGAAAGGTGCAACAGGACAATTAAAGAAAAAGTTCATTGTTGTTTGATAGAATCAATGTTGCCGGATAGTTTTTGGGGGGATGCTTTAGAGTATGCAATTGAGACATTAAATAATATGTCGACAAGAACAAAGGAAAAGTTTCAATCACCGATTTTGTTAATGGGTATTCATGAATGTCAAGAACATACCTTCCATGCATTTGGTTGTCAGGTATGGTTTCATGTTATAAAACCAAATTCGACGCTTAAACCATGAGTGCATCATGCTATTTTGCTTTCATATTTGGACAATAATGAAGGAGCTATAGTTTGGGATACAGAAAAGAAGGTTGCTTTAAAAGCTACTTCTTGAGTATTTCTTGATAAGGTATTTCCAGGATTAAAATCACCAAAATCTTGCGAACCTTTAGGACCTGTTGGAACCAAAAAACTTCCATGGCCCACTTTGGATTCTGACAAACAAAACATTTTGTCAAATCCAATCATTCCTGAATCAACAATTCAAGAGTTACCGTCTAGACCTGTTCGAATTAGAAAACAACCTGGTCAATATGGTAATTTTATCAGCTCAGTATCTACTCGAAAACAACCTCAAAGGTATGGAGAGTATGGTAGAGCTGCGTATGTTGAATCAGAAAAAGAGCCTTCAACTTATAAACAAGCCAAGAAATCTGTTAACTGGGATCTTTGGAAGTTAGCGGCTGAAGCTGAAATGTGCTCACTGGTAGGAAAAGAAACTTGGAAACTTGTTCCTAGACCTGCTCAAAGAAAAAACATCCGATGCAAATGGATATTTAAAACAAAAAGAAATGTTGATATGTCAATTGATAAATTGAAGGCATAATTAGTTGCTTTAGGTTTTTCTCAGATTAAAGGCATCGATTTTTCCGAAGTATTCTCTCCAACTTCTCGTCAAGAATCAATTAGATTATTTTTAAGCATCATGGCAAAAAATGGATGGAAAGGAGTGTCTAATGATATAAAAACGGCATTCTTGAATGGAGATTTAGATGAAGAAATCTACATGGAACAAGCTGAGGACTTTGTCGATGAGGAGCATCCAGACTGGGTGTATCGAATTTTACGATCTCTATACGGTTTGAAACAATCTCCACGACAGTGGAATATTAAATTACATCAATATTTAATTTTGATTGGATATACAAGATCAGCACATGATCCTTCACTTTATTACAAGAAGGATGAAAAAGGAGATATTAATTCACTTTTGGTAACACATGTTGATGATATTGCTATCACTGGTACTGATAAAGAAATTGGTAAATTTCGCGGTCTCATCAAGGAACGTTTTGAGGTATCATCTGATAAACCACTTTCACATTTCCTTTCACTGAATATTTCTGAAGTTAAAGATAACTAAGTATCAGTCAATCAAACACATTATATTTCGAATCTTCAAAAATAATTTAAGAAATATGATATCAAGTTGTCAAATACACCAAACAATGAATCATTCAAAACTTTAATTCCATCAAGTGATGAAGATATCATGTCGACAGAACCATATTCAAGTTTAGTAGGAGGTCTTTTGTGGGTTGCACAGTGCACTCGTCCTGATATAGCGTTTGTAGTAAATAGACTATCACAATTTTTGAAGAAACCATCAACGTTACATTGGAATTCAGCATTAAGGGTATTAGGGTATTTATGTAAAACGAAGGATTTGAAGTTGAATTTAGGAGGAGCTGATTTAAAACCTACTGCGTATTCAGATGCAGATTGGGCGGAAGATTGTCATGAAAGAAGATCAACAACAGGGTATGTGTTTATGTTGGGAATTGGTCCTGTTTCGTGGAGATCAAGGAAACCAAGAACTACATCATTATCAAGCACTGAAGCTGAGTATATGGCAATGAGTGATTCATGTAGAGAAGCACGATGGTTAGTATCAATCTTACATGAACTTAATATTACAAAAGAACAGACTTTTGAATTATGTGTTGATAATGAGGGCGCTGAAGCATTGGCTCAAAATCCTTCACATCATTCACGGACTAAACACATACATACAAGGTATCATTTTGTGCGACAATGTGTAGAAGAAGGAATAGTGAAGTTGGTACATGTGTCCTTGGCAAAATTTTTGGCTGATATGTTTACAAAGGGTCTTTCTCAAGTTTTACTAACAAAACATAGGTTATCTTTGAGTTTATATTGATAAATGTGTCATTAGCACGGGGGGTGTTATGATGTTGTGTAGATGTCACTGGTTGCTTTATGTTTGTATTACATCATAGCTTATATGCTAATACTTTTATCTATCTAAATGGTCTTATAACCTATTAGCATAGTTCATATATCTATTGTAGATTGGTTGTTAGATGGATTGGTTTTCTTCCTCACCTTTCCTATATGTTCTAACATCTTTCTTCTAGGTAAGTTATCTACTATTGCAATAGAACCTTTCCTATATGTTCTAACATCTTTCTTCTAGCGAGAATCCATCTTATCAGATTGTGAACAATCTCAGCTCTCTGATGTAATCTAGAGACTAATTTTTTTAAGAAAATCCAAGTCGATTGATTTGCTTGTGATCCTATGAAGAAGATTGAAACAATCTCAATCTTCACATCAATCTTATCCATAATTTCTTGATTCCAATTCCTATCACTGCCAGCATATTTGGCTTGGAGACAAACGTCCGAGGAGTCCTTGGACGGCGCCCCTAAGGAAAAGGGCACCCGAGGGCTAATTCCGAGGCAAATGTTGGCCCTGGCTGTTACCTCGGATTGGATCCTTGGATGGGGGTCAACTTGGAGTCAGAATCCGAGGAATCCTTGGATTTTTGGCTCTGAGCCAAATATGCTGGCTGTGTATACAATGACAAGCTTCTCTGAAAACAATTCATCTATTATAAACAATCTAGCTTGTTAATTCAGCTGTAAAGGTCTTATGAGCTGCCTTCCGGATCCATTCACCTGGATTTGACCTAGATGATGAAACTTGTGATCTTCAAACATCAAACTTCAACACATACTGCAAACTCAATAGTGTTCAACTCGGGACAGTGTGGTGGTAGGTATTGAAGAAGGATACCTAGAGACAATATTAGAGATTATCAGTAAGTTGAATGAAATGAACTGAAGAGAGAAATGGGAGGATTTGAAGCAGTAGAGTGTATCTTGTTCCTTACAGAGATCAGCAATCAATTGCCCACAATAGATAGACATGTTAGTTGAGTTTAGTGAGCAAAACGAAGTCATTGACAGGGATTTGAGGGATATGAAAAATTGTTGGTGGCAGTGGGGTAATCAAAAGGATGGAACGGATGGGAGCTCAAGCGCACCCTAAAACTTTTTTCTCTCTGCTGCGTTGTGACTGCTGCGGTGAAATTTGTTTTTATTTTTTCTCGATCGGGCCAAGCTTTTTAGCAAAAGTAATATTTGTGCTTGTTGAGAATTTTCTGCCCAAGCCGGGGTAGTTTTGGACAAAATTTGAGTTTCTGACCAAATACACCCCAAAATCATTTTTCCATGGAACATCTTCAAAACTCAAGGTAAAAATACGAAAAAATATGCAAAATGATGGGATATCACAGACTGATTCAAACATAATTTTTTTCAAATTTTTCCTACCTCTCATGCATTGCTGAGAATTTTCTACATCTTGACTTTTCTAAACTCCATGGTATATTTTTGATTTGGCATAGTGATACATGATAGCCTTGATGGCCCATAAGGCCAGTAAAGAACAAGCCTTGTTGGAGGCCTCTAACCTTAACACCAACAAATGAGCGTGTAAGTCTTCAATCACTCTATATCATAAATATCAAGATAGTCCTCTATAAAACACCTTTATGATTTATAAGATCTCTCTTTACTTATATCACTCTACATCTCTTCTTCTCCATTAAAACAAAGAGAACTTGGTTTAGCAGGACTATACAAATGACTACTTTGGGTTATATTACTCTGTGGTTCAATATGGCATATTACATCCTTAAATCAGGATCTTCATCATACTTGTAACAATCATGCCACAAGCCCTCATAAGCTTTCTTTAAATCTCCTTTTCCTTTTTGTCAGGTGACTTGTCCCATCATTCATCAACTGACCTTGGCCTACTATCTGGAGATGTACGGCAGGAGGATATTGTGGTCAAGAAACCAGATCAAATTTTTTTGGCAACCAAAGTAGCTCTAAAAATTGGAACCACAAATGTTTAACTATGGCGGCATTATGGCAGGATAATTTTGAATGAGATTATTGAATATCAACTTATTAAGCCTGAATTTCTTGAATTTACTGTTGAAGAAGTGCATTTTTCAGATGAAGTGTTTCAAGTTTTGTTACCTCTTAAGATTGAAGTTGAAAAAGAAAGGAAAGAGGGATTAGTCGTATTTTGGAATGAAGTAGATGATTTGAATAAAGAAAGTGAGATGGAGAGAGTCAACAAAGAATTTTATGAGGTTCAAGATTGGAATCAAGACAAACCAGATCAAATTGATTGTAGAAGATGTGGAAATGGATTGAAAGAGAATTTAGAGAAGATTGAGAAATATTTAGGTTTACCTTCTGAGGGATGGGAAGGTTTTGTTGAGTATTGGATTTGTCATGAGATGGACAATCATGGAGGATATATTTTTGTTGGAAAAAAGACGAGAGGGGATCAGAAACAAGATGTAAGGGAGAATGGAGGATTTATAGGCAATAAGTTTATAGAGTCAAACAAGATTTAATTGAGGTATTAATCATTGGCTCATTAATACATCTAGTGAATCTCTTTGCTACATCATTATTACACTTGTGATCTTCAGATGATTTGACATCACTGTTTGATTTTGATATATATAAAGCTATTGTGTGCGCTTTACTTTAGTCTTTCTTTTATTGAACTCAAACATCTTTTTCTTGTACAATCTTCTTTGCCAGAGATTGTACTCATCTCAGTTCAATCAAAGCTAATAACCTGATTCTCACAGGTTATACCCACTTTGAGTGGTTATGAGTCCAGCGCTCTTGCAACTAGCCATTGTCAGCATCATCTTATTTCAAACTTCATACTAAGAAGAACAAAATGAGCAGATTGTTGGCATGTCAAGTCTTGTTGTGAATGTTGCAAGGATGATAGAAAGAGGAATACAAGCAATGAACTACTAGTAGTACATGATTTGTTGAGCTGATTACCAAAGAACACGGCATATCATTCCAATGCTGAGAAAAACTTCTATCAAGTATTGACCTTATGTTTTCTCCGACAAATCCAATTACATTCTAAATCCAATCCTTGGGACAATTGCGCACAATGAAGCATTCTCTTTTGAAAGAAACATCACTAGCAAATCACTTTGGCATTGAAAGGATCACCACTGTTAACATGTAATTGGTACTGGACACTGCTTGAATGCTCCCCCCTCGCTGCACTTCGGTGTGGTGCCTGAACACAAAGGACTGCCTTTGGTACATTGTGCATTTGATTTTCCACACTTGGCCAACGGATTTAATGTTCTCTTGGGAGGGCTTCCTTCGGCAATGGGTGCCATAATTGCAATGAGGCCCAAAAAGACCACAAGGAGTTTGAGATACCGTTTAGATATCTAGCCCAAGTAAACGTGAAAACTTCATGTCAACATTTTCACATCACCAAGAAATTATTTTGTGGCACTTCAAAAAACTGACCATATTGTTATCTTTTGGATTTGATAAGGTCTGTTCTGAGGATACTAGTTCAAGTGATGATCTTATTCTCAAGGGTAAAAAAGGGTTCCAGAGGGAACAAGTAGTTCAGGTAAGTAATTGACTGTAAGAAATGAAAGAATAGGGGAATAATCACGAGATATAGGTTTTGATAAGATGAACGAGCTCCAGCCTCAGTCAAGTCAAAGCAATATCAGACGATGGTTGATGATTATGGGGCCATTGAGCTTCGAACAGGCCCCTTTTGAATGCAAAAGTGAGACCTTCAGAGATGGTGAATCCTCTTACTTACCAGCCTACCAACTTACTTTGGTCACACTGGAGACATACCCTCTTAACGACTGGTGGGGACGTTTGCACGTTTTCACGCTCATGAGAGCCCGCATTGGGGGTTGGTAGACATGTATCGACGAGATTAAAGTCGCTCGGCTCGGATCCTTCTTGAATAAATATCTGACGACCCGGTCGGCCTTCTTGTCTTCATGATGTAACTGCTGATGACGAGAAACTGTTCAACGTGGGGAGTTCGTTACATAGACACTTGACTGAGGAGCATGTTTCATTTCCGTAATCTCAGAGGCTATCAGTCGGGGTGGTTGTCTTAGAACAATTCTCCGAGTCCTGGTAACCTCACTTTGAATTATTGTGATGAGCAACATGAGCCATCACCTAGTAAGAAGGCTCATCAAGTCATTGTACTCGCTCAATTCTCACTTTTGGCTCTTGATTGTGGTGCAAATATCACACTGGACATCAATAGAGTTCTCATTAATCTGTGGATGATGGTAGAGCCTATGCGGGACATCTTGTCGCCTGATTACTATGTCTTCATGAATGTTGCGGCCCATAATTAAATGGTGATCCTTTTCTTCAACACTCCTCTCGGCGACGGTTGTTGTAGTCCGAGATCCTTAGCTCACTGTTCAAGGTCTTGCAATACCATTCGAATTTCAAACAGTCTCATCGTTACGCGAGGATTTGAGTCAGTCGCAAGTGACGCCGGCGGATGAAGGAGTAGGTCAGCCCATCTCAGCAACATAAAGATGCGTCAAAAGGTTTGAAGCCTGAGGTCCGCCTCATGATATGCAATCATTTTTCGGTGATTGCTAGTGTTCCCGAAGCGTGGGCCATCAACAGGCAGGCTGCCGTTGGCCCAAACTGCCGATCTACCAAATCTAATTGACAGTTCGCCTGCGACTGGCAAGCAGACTGCCACAGGTTGCCATTGTTGTTGAAGACTTGCTTTGGTTGAGAGAAACAGGTTTTGAAGCAAGCACTTCAGGACTTATTTATAAGCTAGGTTAGGTTAAGGTTGACGCGTTCACCCCTGGCCTCCGATTTGATGGATCAGCAAAGGAAACACTTTCATATTCCGAATTTCCGTAGGCTCCTGAAATCTGTATGGAGCAAAAGCACTACATCAAGAAAAGTTGACTGAAGTATTAGCTTAACTAAGCCCCTCGCGCGGCCGCGTCCGCGCCCTCGAAAGAGGGGCTTATGACTAAAACGGGTTTTTTGGCTGTGTGACTCCATGTTTTAAGTACCCTTATGTTGTTTTTCTCGTCTCTGCTCTTCCCATTTTCTTAAATTTTTCAGACCTTCCAGTATGTTATTCCTCATCAAGTTGTACATAACACAGTACCATTTACTTTGGTTTAGATGAAGCAGAAGTGCTTTGAAATCGTGATGTAAGATTGGTAATTAAGCGGCTTTCGAATTTCATTCGAGGGAAATCCAGCTGGCTTAGGTGGTCTTAGGGCATTTACAACACGGCGTAAGGCCTGTTTTTCGCATCCTCAGCACAGCTCTCAAGCCATGCAGGGATGTCTGTTGCTCATGAAAAGTATATCACAATATGTACAATTTGGCAAAGAACAACATACTCAAAGGTCTGAAAAATTGTTGAAAATTGGAAGAGCAGAGACGAGAAAAACAACATAAGGGTACTTAAAACATGGAGTCACACAGCCAAAAAACCCGTTTTAGTCATAAGCCCCTCTTTCGAGGGCGCGGACGCGGCCGCGCGAGGGGCTTAGTTAAGCTAAACTGAAGTACAGAAATCGACCAAATGATAAATATCTTGAAGGCTACCAATTGAATACAGTCTGGGTCTTCCCACTGAAACTAACTTTCGTTATCTTCTTCAATTCAAGAACCAAGACTGGAATTTTCTTGGAATATATCATGATCAACTTACGAATTCAATCAACCATCAAATCAAAACTAAAACTTCAAAGATTATCATATACAACAACATCATCAAATCAACCTACCTTCGCTTCGACTTGTACTGCAACAGTTCCATCCTACACTCGTCATTTAATACTACATCATCAATCTATTTCAGAATCAAATTGGCCATCTGATCTAACTACAATCTCACCATTATACAAAACTTTACAAAACCTTACAAAACCTGGTCAAAGCTTACATGGTTTAGGATTAAGTCTTAGTACTACTAGCTCGAGGAGTTCAAGTTTGAATCTATCATCAAGTTTAGATTCTATTCAAGAAGCTTACCTTCATTCATCTCATCATACCATTCGAATCCCTTTCACACTTTCAAATTCAAATCTAGATGAATTCATAGAGTTTTATAAAAGTTTACCTACCATAGATATCAAAAATAGATCCAAATCAACTCAATCAAACCTACCTTTAGATCATGACTCTTTTGATTCATTTTATGTTTATGTTTGTGTACATGAAAATAGAGATTGTAGATGTGGTATAAGAGGTAAACCATTATTAGAATCATTAAAAACTTTATACCAAACTCGAATTTCACAAAGACCTTCAAAACCTATTTATAAATTCTATCCAATCTCTCATATTGGTGGTCATAAATATGCTGGAAATTTATTGGTTTATCCTACTGGAAATTGGTTTGGTTTATTAGATCCAATGGTAAAAGGTGACGATGAAAAGATCTTGAATTGCTTGTTGAGTTTAGGTACTGAGAATGAACAGATTTGGTGGGATAAATGGCGTGGTCGAATAGGATTAGATAAGGTATCTTACATACTCTTACTTTAAACATCTTCATCTCTTCTACCTGGATGATCATGAAGATTCACTTTTGGACTATCTTTTAGGAGGTTCAATGGGATGTTTATCAATCAGGTATAAAAAATCTAAACAAACACCAAAGGTCTCAGAACAAAATAGAAACCCTACAAGGTCCAGATGTCATTGTACGATTCAAAACATACGAAGGTGAAGTTTTATCTTTAAAAGGTAAAATAGGTGAAGACCTAAGATCAAGTTGAGTAAACCGTCTCATTCTCATATGAATTCACACTTTGGTTTTGTTGAAGTACTAGTTTACATCCTTCTTGACCTGTTTTTTTGTTGGTTTTCAAAAAAAAAGTTGCTAAAAGAGGAGAAGCACCTTCTATTGAAGCTACCTGTGGTGGTAATTGTGAATGTGCAACTTGTCAAATTTATATAGATGAAACTGCACCTATTCCACCTCCAAATGAGAATGAAGAAGAGTAAGGAATCCATCATTTTATTGAATGCACCAGCTTGTATTGATCATAAATTGAGTTTTTTTTTGCTTTTGATGATAGTATGTTGTTTACCGCCATTGATAGACGTGATCAATCAAGATTAGCTTGTCAAGTGGTTTTAACACATCAATTAGCTGATTGGCTAGAAAGTCAAACCGATCCTCGAATCCAATTACCTCGCTTTTGATTACAAGAGGTATGGACACTTGAACTTTGAAAAAGTCAGATTATGTAGTTGATCTTGATTAAATCATTGGTTAGATGATGATCACTCCATTTATAGTCTGAAAGTCTCTAGTCTATTGTATAGGTACACAGGGCACTACAAAAAATACCGTCCTGTACAAAAAAACCACTGCTCTTTGTAAAACCCCTTCTTGTTATATCTACAGGTCACGAGTGTCATCAAGCTTTGCATACTTTGGCCACCAAATGGTGCATAACATATTTTCAAACACAATCAAGCCAAGCGTGTTGCTCATATGGCCCTCGACTTCTTCAACTATGTGATGTTATGCAACATTTGGGTGTAGACATAGTTGTATTCTACTGTGATTATTTCAACTTGTGACCCCCTATCATCTCTGTTGGCAATTCCATAAAAAAGCTGAATGCTTCTTCTAACAGGGGCTGCGCAAGAGGCTCGAGCATCATGTAGAGCAAAATGTCTACAATTGACTAATTGAGCCACTCTGATGGAGATGATGTACAGGTCTATATGGGTTCTTATCAAAAGGGTCACATGGAGTGTTTAGTATCACTGTGATCATTCCTGATACAAACCAATGATCAAGTAGTTCAATTATCACCTTCATTTCCAAGATGTAAAATCAACCTGTTCACAAACTCTCTCTAATTTCCTCATCTCATCTATTTATGTGGATATAATCAATCAGATTCATCTCAATGGTGAAAGCTACAAAGCAGATGTCAAAACTTACTATCAACTTCAATCAATGTACCAGATCCGCTAGGTAAGATCAATACTGTATCAATCTCAGTGTACATGGAGATGCTGGCTTTGGCTCCGCGCTTAGTAGCGATCCATTGGCCAGATTGTGTGCGGAGGAAGGTTTCCTTGACAGGGGATGTCTCACTATTTTGAAATTTTCGATCAGCGTCTATTTATCAAATGTTCTATACATCAAAGGAGCGAACAAGAATTTACATACGTTGGTTGATCTTTCAAGCATTCTAGCACGCCTAGACAAATCTCAACTTCCTTTTCACTACTTTGTTTTCCGGACCAAATCTCATTCTTAGACAACCAGGCAGATTGAATTGAAGATTGTTTATAGTACACATCATTAGTCTTAAGTTGTATAAGAAAGCGATGATCGAGCGATTTAGTCTTCACGAGGTCACTGTACGAATTGGAAGAAGTACAGCGATCAGCGCCCTATATGCTTGACATGTGGTTCAGTGAGCTAACTTTGAAGATTGATCCGGCCATTGTGCACAGAGTCGCTTGAGTAGACGGCTGCTTTCAGATAAGAGTTTAGCGTTTGGTAACGTAAGCCCTGGTTTGGTACCATCAGCTGACGGGAATATGAGTGCTAGATTCCAATCGTCTCGCTAACAGAAAAGAAAGCGAATTCCGATAGCAAAATCTTCAGCGCGTTGAACTCACAGCAATACTGGATCAGAATAAATTTACTTGGAACCATAGAACATCAGCCTTCAGTTCACCATTTCGAACAAAAATTGACAGCTGTTTGGGGACAGTATGTTGATCCATCCCTTCTGATAACGGCGAACTCGACAACATTTTACGTCGCACAAACTTTTCAATTGGGCTCAAGTTGTCTGTTGCAGAGCTTTTCTCTGCCATCGCGTCAGCCAACGCGAGCTCTACATTATAATGGGCTGATCGCGGATCATGGATCGACGAAGCTGCTCGTTTGGTTGGCTCAGTCGCTGGTTGACTTGCGGGATTCTGGGCGGGTACCAAGTTCGTAGGTGATGAGGCCACCGCCGGGGTGGACTCACATGGGTGACGATCCAGGTCAAGTGTTGGAGCAGGGTACAGGTTCAGCAAGTGTTTCGGATAATAGTCATGATCGGCCTCAGTGACCACGATAGGATACAGATTGAATAGATTCTCAGGATAATTGAATAGATTCTCAGGATAATGCAAAGTAGAAGTCCTATCGCTGATGGATTTGTCTTTAGATGCTAGAAATTCAACACGTTTGGGACAAAGATTAATCAGATACCCAGTGTCGCGTCATTTAAGAGCGCCCGGCCGTGGAAAAATCAGCCCTGCGACTTACGTTGTTCACCTTTTGCGAAGAGATATGACTGCGAGGCACATGGTCTGCCACTAGACAAGCGAGCCGCAACGGAAGGTGTTGGAATCACGGAGGATGTGTTCGTAGTCTTCGATTTCGCCGGAGGGATGAAACTGATCCCCATCTCTGCTCTCAGTTGTTCGTCCAGGCCTTCGATAGTTTGAGCACTGTCATCAATACCTGATAAGTGGGAGCTGGCAAATGAAGCAGATGCCCAAGAAAAGGCTTTCTGTACCCATTGGGACGGTTCCGCTAGACCCTTCATAGACACATCTTGAATGCCATCCATTGAGCGCATTGCAAAGTTCGAAAAAACATTGGATGGCGGAGGAGGGTGTTGGGTAGTACTCTTGGCCTCGCTACCTCCAAGTAGGCTAAGAAGATATCTAGCGAGGCTGTTGCTGTCTAGTTGGCTTATCGAGTTTGTGGGTTGAGGAAGATGGATGATCTTCTTCTGATTCAATAGAATTGGGGATGAACCGGTTTCTGAACACGTCTTGTCAATAAATGCGTTGAGATGAGTCGCAAGTCGATTGGGTATGGATTGTGGATGCAGCTGTGGCAGCTGAAGCACTGATCACAGATTCGATAAGATAAGTCATGCGATCGCCACTCAAGGATTTGATCAGGAAAGGTGTCATTATCCATACTTACAGCCAAGATATTGATCAAAATCAACACCACCACATCCGCTTTTCTGTACATCCCAGCGCCATAACCACACACTCCAAAATCTTTCCAACATATCAATCAGTTCCTTGCGAGAATTAGTGTATTTCGACATGATCCCATGTAAGAGTCGATATTCAAGGTAACCCGACTTCAACGAATTCAGTAAAGTGTCGTCTGTAGGAGTATGATACGAAGAAGGCTTTCCCTCGAGATTGATTGTCAAGGAGGTAGACATTTTGTTTGGACCGTTTGCAAAAGTTTCGATCGATTGGGGGAGACTGATCATCTATCCTACTCATATTGGATCAAGGGACTCATAAGCCCACCCAGTCTATCTATGTGGCGAGTTGAGGATGCGTGACATATTCAGACGTACCGCACAAATGTGAAAGCCAGGCTCAGGTTCATGATACAAGATCTTATGCTTCGAACTATGAACCACACGTAAAGATGAGTCGCGGGTTGGCTTATGCTGTGAAGTTGCCGATGACCCAGTATGGCTACTCGGTCTAGATGAATTTGCATTGAAACCCAAAACAGAACTAAAATTGACCAATCCTTGTAGAAGTCCTATCTGACGATTTCGCTTTTCGGGAGATAAATTTGAAGTTCGATCTGAGAAGAAGAGGACAGATGACGGTAAAGAAGCCTCAGGTCTGTTACGATCTTCTGGTTCATTGGTTTCTTCCTGGTCAGGTACTGCTTCTTCATTCTTTGGAGGTTGAACTTTGTTTGACCATATCGTAAAAGAGACCAGCGTAGGAAATGGGAACTTGCGTGGTTGAGAAGACATTTTGAGTTGAGCTTGAATGAGATGGTAATGAGAATCTGTATCGACAACTCGAAGGTCTCAAACGGTAAGCTGTAAGTTTCGGCTTCTTTTTCAGACCGTGTGCCGGTTACAATCAAATCGCTCTTTTGTCTTCCCATCAACGCAAGACCTGATCTAATGCCTTCTTCTGGTGCTCCCTGTTCTTGCCACTCACCATTCCAATTTCAGGATGAGATCAAGGGCTTCACTTATTGCCTCACATGATGGGTTTGATATCCATACTTTTTGTCAATGAGGGAGAAAATCATTTACACTTGGTAAATTCTCATACCATGCTTCGTATCCCCTCTACTCTTTGGGCGTGATTTGTTTTCAAATGCATTTGACTTGACGCTTTTTGGCCGAATTGAAGCCCACTGGTACCAAGTCTATTCTACCCATCTTTTTCACCTTGTCAAGTCTTTGTTATACAACATATTATTTTTATTGCACTCAATGAGATTACATAATGACACAGCCAAGTCAACAGATCAAGTGAGGATTAAGGGACATTTTAAACGTGACAGCTGGCCTCTGGACATTCTAGATGTCATAATCAACAGAATCATATCAGAAAGGGACGGTTAGTGATGGGTGTAATATCATGTGTACTTTTATAATGCAAATGGAAGGTAAACTTACGTTGAGGCAGATGCTGGCGCACGCAACGATACTCTCTGGCGACCCCATCAGGGTCTTTATGCCTGCAAGCTTTTTGTTTTGGAAAGATCAGGAATGAAGTCCGTTTCAAGAAGTTAGTATTCTGGCGTGTGTCAGAAGCTTAGAAATGGACCACAACTCAACAGATAGGTCTGGCTGGGTTGCTTCCTTCATCGATAGATATTCCGGCGTCACAAGGGAATGATCCCGTTGTGCTCAATGGTTTCGGGCCGTGGCAATCAAAAGCAGCTGTACGATGATACATTGAATAAGAGGTGAGCAGTCCGGTTCCATTTGGCCATTGATTCAAGACGAGAAAATTCTTTCGCACAAGGTAATTGATTATCATTCCTTCCACACACAGAGCAAAAACGGGGATAAGCAATCGCTTGACCGACTTTTTGTTTACACACTACGAGCATCAATATTTTTAGACGGTGTTCAAAAAGATGAGTCAGTTCGAAATATCACTGAAAATGATGTTTCATTGTATCGACCTTGGTTGACTGGAAAAACTGAAGACTAAAGGGAAAGGTTTGACAGACCATATACACCCTTGGTCACTATCGATGGCAGACTCCATCCTTCGAGGCAATCTATGGCATTAGCACCTGTGAAAACCGACCCGAGATCTCCTACAAACAGGAACACGAGCAAAAGATGAAAGAGGGCGGTCGATGGCTTCCGAAACATACTACGAATACCAGTCGATTGATATGTTTCACGAGTCGTAGAGTTGTGTAAATTTGAAAGTCTTGATGAAAGTTGACAGCGAAGAAACAGAAATTATTTATGGACAACACGCAAAATTAGCAAGAAAAGACGGGCGTTTGAAGTTTACCACGTCTCTTGCAAAGGCAGCCTTAAATCCAAGACATTTTTTTGCCTCGGTGTATCTCGAGCCGGAAGGACATCGAATACTGTATCCATGCTCTTGCCACCGAAGTAAGGACCCTGTGGCTATCTAATCAGGGAAAATGTCGCTACTGACTGTTTTTGGTTACAAAGAGGAATGTTGATCCCATGGTCAACTCCCGGCGTTGACTTGCCTCAAATGTTGACTTAAAACACATCCTTCTTGGGGGTATCTCGCAACGATTTCCACGCAGATAAACTTAACACATTAGCTAAAGATAAGGCAGTTCGGCGGTGACCAGGCTTACTATGCACGGCCTCCTCCGCGGGCTCCAGAGGACAAGGATGTGACTTGCGTATTTAAATTGGTAAGCGCGGGAGGTTGAGTTAGTTAGCATGTGACCCAGAGTAATGCACGTCCTTTAGGGCAATTCACCATTTGACTTGATACTGATTCTAGTGCTGCAGGTTTCAAGACACCTTTTGGGTTTACAATAAATCTCATCAGAACTAACCAAAGTTGCCCGCACAAGTCAATAGCTGATTTGACAATCTCAAAACTCTCAATACCTCTTGACTCAAACCTATGAACCAGTCGGAAGTCCCCAAGACTTCTTGAAAAAATATCGATGATGATATTGCATCATCTAAAACTCACACACACACAATATAAATCAAAAAAGAAACAAAAATCAGCGGGAAAAAGACCCTAATCTCTTCCATTTAATCTATCTTTTCTTTTGTCCACTTTCTGAAAGCAAAGAAACTATACAATCATCAGGATACATTGCTTTTTAAAAAAAGTTAGGTGTGTATTTTTGTGATTTGATTGAAAGATGTTGAAACATATCTAAGTCGGAGAGGGGAGGGTATCAGATAGGATTTGAAGAAAAAAACAGCCTGTTTTGGAAATTGTATTTATATAGATAGATAGATATGTTATGTTATGGCCATGTAGCTAGGATGATCTGATCAGAATGGATAGATGAGAAGCGGATTAAAAAGATGAACTTGGAAATCGTTATTCCGGCTAATTTTACTAGTCAGATGACTGAAGAGAGAAAAGGAGAAGAGATAGACTTATAAAAAAGGCACAAATAATTGCTAATTCACATGGTTCAAACTTGATGTATGCAAGGATATGCTTCTGGTAGATCATTTTACATATACCTTGGTACTTTCTCTCCTGATTGAAGTTCAATCAAATCTTCACTTCTACCACGCTTATTCGAATTCGGTCTTCGACCGTTCATTGGTAATCGCTGATATGGTGCAGAATCATTCGTATGCCTTCCACCACGACCGCCGTTTGTACGTGCTTGAAATTGATGACCCCCTCGTCCTCGGTAAGGTCCAGTACCCGGGTTTATCTCGCCCATACCACCAGAGATGCCTCCCACGTGCGATGGCGTCATACCATTCGAGATATGCCCGTTGTTACCATTCATCATATTCATATGCATCATATGCTGATTTTGATGGTTGGGAGTTTGCATGTTCATCTGCGGAGGTCCGGAGCCCATATTCTGCATCATGAACATTTGTTGAAGATGTTGATATTGCATCATGAGTTGCATCCTCATAGGTTGTTGAAGTTGAGGGTTCTGAAGCATCATCATGATCTTATTCATCTGCATCGGTATCGGTAGCATCTCTTCTCCATTCATCATTCCACCCATGTTCATATGATTGGCTTGTCCATTCTGATTTAAATGTCCGTTTGGCATGAACATACCTGGATGATTCGAGCTCATCACAACATTATGATTACCACCCATTCCGTGCATCATAGCCATGTCCGTATTGTCAGGCATTCCATTCCCACCATCCATCATGGCATTGTTTATTTGATCACCCCCGTTCATGTGCTGATGAATTGGATGATGCATAGGGACCATGTTGGCAAGATGATTCGGAGCGCCACTGGCTTCGTCTTCGAGATGACAAGATTGCTGCGTAGGCGGCGAGACATTGGAAGAGGCGGATGTGACGGATGTAGGAGCAGAGGACTTTCTGGACTCTTCACCAGACTCGTTAGATTGTACGGTGCGATTCGATGTACTGTTTTGCCTGTGATGAGCCGCTGATGTCTGGGGTAAGAGGTTTAGGTTTAGCGTAGTGCTCAAAGAAAGGAGCGTTGGGGATTGATGACTTGACTAACACTTGGGTTCAGCCCTGGAATCTCGTCCTTTTCGCCTGATGCATCTTGGGTGTCTGACACTTTGTTACTGGAAGTTTTATTCACATTTGATGGATCGGCGTTGGTCGAGTTGATATCATCGGACTTGTTGACCTGATCGGCTTCAGCGCTCTTGCTCTCTTCTTGTGATTCCTTACTCGCCCGTAGCAAGTCTTCGACATATGCGCGACTCCTGGCCCGACGTTCCTCATCTTCGATCAAGGACTTGGATAGATTCGAGGAAACTTTGGTTTCGCATTCAGGACATACGGATGAGTGTTCTTTTAGGTGATTGGAGATACAATCATAGCAAAACGCGGATCGACAACAGGAAGTCTTGACAGCAGATTTCAACAGTGTGGAACATATCGAACAGGCCAAATCAGGATCTGAGGGTCGAAGGCTCTGAATGTCAGCCGCAGATAAGTGTTTGACGACCCCAGATTTATGTTGCTTCCAAGACGCACTGCGTAACAAACATGGGCGGTCAGCAAAGAATAGCCATATGTCTTGGTATTTGAGCAGCCCACTCACTCATCAGGTCGGGCGATAACAAAGCTTCCATCTGCTGTGACCATGACACTTTTGCCTTGAACAACGGCACTTTCGACTTTCTGCAAGAAACTCTTAGGAATACCAGTAGTTCTCTTGATCCTAGGGCGGCCCTCGAACTCTGGATCATCGTTTGTCGGGCAATTTTGAATCCAATGACCTGATGACAACCCAAAAGACATGTGAGCCGGATTCGCAGATCGTCGATCAATGGTCGAATTAAAACGCGCGTGCGTAATCAACTTACCTTTCAATCCACAACGGTAACAGATATACCCTTGCGGGGGTATACTTGGTGGAAAATCTGGGATAACAGCCTCACGAGGCTTGGTACGGTCGACATAAGGCCCACGAGCAGGACCACGGTCTCTGAAGCCAAGGACTCGGCCAACTCGCGTCGCACTGAGACAACAACAGGATCGTATTTTATTGTACAAGGTGTGAAAAGAGAATTCAACAAAGCCACAAGGTTTAGAGATGAGTATGAGTATGCAGAAGGGATGAACAGGAGTTTTGAATGGATCCTCGATGCAAAAGAGGCACACGATTTGGATGGAATCCATATAGATAACTGATAGAGATGAGCTGAGAAAACGTACGTAGCCATAGTTTCTTGAGTTTGTTGCCATTGTTCTTCTTGTGCAGCAAACATGGCAGCCATGCTCTCAGCTTCCGAGTCTCGCGCATTACCAGCCACAACCGGCATCACAGCCTGAAATACGCCGAAGGATTTTAACAATGTCAGAATAAAAAATTAAGGATAGATGACAGAAGACAGGAATACTTACCGCTGCGGCTGCATCAGCCTGTTGACGAAAGTCTTTTGAGATAGAGCCTCCACCTCGCCAATCAGCATGGGCTGTGGCTTGCGAGGCAGGACGTGCATGGGCTGCCAGAGGTAAAGAGTTGACATATTGTTGAGCATTACCATGGCCAGACCGCTTAGGAGGTAATCGACGAGCAATGACTGAAGAAGAACGAGGAACGATAGCGTGATCATTTTTATATTCTAGACAGATGACATAGGAGGTGAGAAGTCAATTTGTATTCATCAAATCATGAGGAGCTATTAGTTGAACAGCTCGCACCCTCATCGGTATCGGCGTTGTAGACCGCAAAATCAAAATCAGTGCCTTTGCCCAACTTAGCATCAGTAATAATTTCACGCTTCAAATCCCATACTGATATTCCAATGCCATCGAATACGATTCGTTGAAAGTCCTTTTGAGATTTGAATCGGTAATACACATGACCAGACATTTCTCAAGATGGCACAAGAGGAATGGATGTGAGAATGAGCAGCGTAATCAGTTGAGGACCAGTGTGAATGATTAGTTTTGGTGATGGCTGAAGTTCAGGATTAGTCAGCCGGAGGAGGCGGTTGTTGTGAGATTGATAGTGAGACGGTAATGAAGATGAAGTTGAAAATGAGGTAATAATGAGATGAGTATAAGAGAGGTGGGCAGGATGTAATTTAAAAAGTGTGAATAAGTCTTTATTTTTCTTTGGCAAGTCTTCAGTCTAGATTCTGATAAATTTAAAAACTAGAGACAGCTTTACAGAAAAGAAATCCAATGAGACGATAACAACAAAGTAAGGTCACAAGATGACAGTTTTCTTGTAGACGATTAAAACGATATCAACTTCAACAAAGTAACACTATCACCGACAATTGATGATGAATTTAAAAGCGTAATATGATATGGAAAAAGTTAAAATCAAGATCTCATAGTTTGAAGAATTGTGATTTGGTTGATATTGAGAGGTTGATTGAGTTTTGTTGAGGTTTCGAGATGGAAATCGATAGGTGGTGGTGATGATGATGGTGATGGTGAGATGAAGTTGAAGTTGTGAAGAAGTGTAGAAATCAAAATCGGAATTCACCCGAACAAACCAAACCGAAAAACTTAAATTGTCAGGTTTCAGCTCTGTGAAATCGAAACAAGTGACAGATTGCACTTTAGTCGGATTTGGCTCAGCCTCAAATGCCCACCTTCTGTATTAGGGCTTGGACCAGTTAACTTCTGCAGAGGCTTTGCCCCCGCTCTTCGAAAACGAAAGGATCCTTTGATTGAACAAGTTAGAAACAAAAGAAACTCTTCAAGCCAAATGGTCACAGCCATTCATGTATTCGACCGACCTCATGCCCTTTTTGGATCGATTCAGACGCACGCAAAATGTTTTCTTTTCCTTTCTGAGGTCTTAGATGCCATTGTACTTCAGCTCAAAGGTCAGTAGAACTGGAGTTCACGGGACGTCATGTCTCTACTGTCAGCTAGATAAGTCCATGAAGACTTTTTGCTGACCTTCAGGCCTCATGAGCACTGTGCATTGAATCAAGACGATGAATAGGCATCTATAAGACTCTGGTCAGACTCTAACAAAGGGGATCAGCCACTCTTGAAAAAGAGCAAGAAAACAATAAGATATGCCTTCAAAAAGTTTTCAAATATGATGGCAAGATTACCCACACACTACAAAGATCCCTCATGATGGCCTTGCCGCAGGTTGTGTGGTTGTTGACATGCGTGGATAACCAGTACCTGACATTGAATTTGAGACCATTCTGGAGGCGTTTTATTTGTGAATGATTTTTTCTTGAGCCTTTGCCATTATGTACTCTAGACGAAGGTTGCTTGCTCAGACAATCTCATCACAACTGAACAATATGTACTGAAAGCCAAAATTGGACACCAGATAGCTGAAAAATTGTCAGCTTGGGTCTTTAAACACTTGGTAAGTTTACAGACCTAGGTAGAATAATCTCACAAAATGTATGTTCAAGGATCTTGTTGCCATAACTAACACTTCTAAACTTATTTTTCAACTCTTTGTAAGGTAAGTATCAAATTCTAAATGGCACTTATAATTGCCTTAGGTGTGGAATGGATACCGCTGCCTGATACGTCCAATGTAGACTTGACTAGCTTCTGAAGTTAATGCAAGGATTATAAGCTGGCTTTATGATCAAAAGGAAACAAGAGCTTGCAATATCAATTTGATAGTAAGGAAATCATTGATTGATAGAGAGATAGCAAGTCACAAACATGGTCTGGACCCATTATCACTTCATCTTCAATAAACAAAGCAATTTTTATTATATGCAGCCCCCTGGCTATATCTTCTGCACAAAAACATCTGTTCAGAATCCTCCAGTCAATTGTAGACGGCACTGCCATTCCAATCCCAAAATGGGAGATCACCTTTGAAAGCTCAAGTTTCAAGTTTTGCAAATCTACACCTGTGATTTCCATATCACATTATTTCACTTGGACTGAAATTTGAACAATCCTTTGCACATGCCCCTATGCTCAATTTCCAAGATGCTCATCAAGGGCCTGAAGTAGGAGCTGCACCTCATAAGTACAAGCAACATTGTGTTGTAGAGCAAAACACAGGCAACTTTCAAGATTTTACTCAAGCTTTACCACCAGCAGCCGCAGCAGCAGTGAGAATTGGCCCTTGGTCAATCTTGTTCACTCAGGTTGTGGGTGCGGCACAAAAAACGCGCTTTGGCACGCCTTTTTAAGGGTGCGCCTTTCACAAAATGCACCAGATCTTTGAATTTCTATGTCCTGTCACCAATATTGGAGACTTGGATCCTTGCTGTGAGCTTTGAAGACAGCTCTTTTTGGCTTTTCTCACCTCCAAAAGGTAAGTTGGTGGTGGTAGACAGCTCTAGCAATACAGACGTAGAATAAATGACAATGTATAAACAACATTGTGGTTGTCAGCAATTTTTTTTGTAAGAAAACGCGCCCGGCGCGAAAAATCACAAAAAAACGCGCCTCGGCGCGCCTACAAAATTATCAGCGCGCCCACAACCTGATTGTTCACAGGGACATGATTGGGAAATGCCAAAAAGTATGCGTTGTAGGGGAGTCAAACCCCTGACGAGGCCACTTGCCCAATGGCAAGGCCCCAGTTTACCGCTCACTACATGCAAGGTGGTGACGCCGCGGATGCGGGGACGCGCTGACCCAGATCAACCCCCCGCTTTTGCAAGAACCCCCCTTGGGTTTTGTGCGGCGTCACCGCAACCCCGCATCCACGGGGTCAGCACTTTGCATGTAGTGGCTAGCCTAACAACGCTTGTAAAGCGGTCTGATTTTGCGTGATAGGTCGTTGCTGTACATGAATCCCAACCAGTCTCGCGTCTTCTCTGCATTCACATTCAGACTACTATAAATCAAGGTGTATGATGAGATCCTGGATGACATATTCCAACATTTTTATACTTGAGTACATGGCAGAATTGAGTCATGGCTGTTGCAATGGGCTTTGTTCAGTTAGGACAATATACTAATCTAGGATTCCAAGCAAATCTGATTGGATGATCATTCTTACCTAGGAATAAATCAACATAAAATCCTTACCCTGTTGAGAAATTTGATCAAAATTTTAAGGCCTTGTATTTGATTTGTACATTGCCAATTTACTTTTTGATATCTGTCACCATGTCCATTTTAGTGTGACACATCAAAGTACACACACCAAGGAGTTGTTGTAGCAGGTGGACACGAACATGAAACAGTTTTCACAACCAAACTCAGAATTTCATTCATTGGGGTCCTCAGACAATGACAGTGAGACTGCACCAAATCAATGTCTGATGTTGGTTGTTCAGACCTTTGGTCAGGACTGTTATGGCCTTATACTGGGCTATGCTTATAATATTACTGCACTTTGACCCCATTATATTCTCTCCATATTTTTCAGTTATACTATCAGACCATATCTGACCTCTGGTCCCAGTCATGCTCATAACATTTTGCAGCATCTTTAAACCATATTAGATGTCAGAGAAACTGAAGCAAAGACAATCAAATTGAAGACATCAAACTACAAGAAAAATTGACTAAGAAGACAAATGTCAACTGTAAGAGGTTTCTTGCTGAGCAATAACCCTTGATTGTATTGACAGATCAATGCATTACTGTCCTTACACATGTAAATACATAATTATAAAACATACATAAAAATAATAACATACATACTTACACTCCAGTTTCATGAGTGAAAAATAATGAACCACATCTACACATAATGGAATACATCAGCGGTACACAAAATCCATGCGGTGTCATGCGGGTTTTTCATGTGGTTTTCAATTTTGTGTACCATTAACACCCTCATAACAAATTACACGCAGCAGGACCCTGGAGAGCCCCAATATACCTTGCTGACAGAAATCCTGGGAATTTGCTCTCCTACCTACAAGATTTTTGCTGGTTTTCAAAAAAAAATGGATTCCTATGTGTGGACAAAGGACCTTTTTTTCGGAAAAAAAATCCAATTCCTTCCATTTCAATAGGGGCTGTCCAGGGTCCTCATGCAGCATGAACCCTTACCAATCCAGGTTAAAAATCAACAACATGGCTACATGGTTGAAAACAACTAACATACAATGAAAACCCTGACCAGGTGTAACAGTGTTCAAGAATGTACCAGCCCTGTTACAAACCAGGGACTGGTCAAAATATCACTTAACAACAAAACATTTCTACTTTAACTAACTAGACCAACTACAGCCATCATGCATTATTTGATCAGTTGAATATCAGCACTTGTCCACAAAAGAGAGAAAAGAATCATCTTTTTCTACATTAAACAAAATCATTATCCCTTTTTACATGTTTACTAGAAAAATCAAGAAGCCTTTACATTCTCATCCTGTTGGCAACAAAACTTGTTATACACTAGAACTCTGCTTTAGACTTACTTCTGGTTTAAGACACTTCTTTGTTGTTCAGAATTCCTCTTCTCTTTTCTTTTTTGCTTGCTTTTTATCTAAAGGCACTGCCAACTGTAATTCCGGAACTCCATGTTCTTTTTGTTTCCTCTTTCATTTTCACTTTACTTTTGTTGAATGCTTTTAGAAAAGCCTTAAAGACTTTTCATATATGCATTATTGCCAATTCTTATCTTGACTGATTATAACAAACACTTGTTTCCGAATTAGGGATTGATGTTTAAATCACTCAGTGTCAGCCCTGAGTACATATGCATGTACCCAAAACTAACTTACAATAAAGAATTATCATATACAAACCTAATTACATATACATACAGCCTATAGACAGTATGTAACATGTAATGAAACACATAAAAATATTAATTACATATACGTGTACACTTAAAACCACATGTAGTATGTTATAAAACATCATTAACACCTCATAACTCAGTGTCAAGAGTTAAAATGCTTTGGTTTCAAATGCTTATACTACATAGTATACTTAGTGTGTATATGTAATTAAGCATAATCAATAATGATCATAACAATCATTAACAACAAACCCTAAACCAATGTTGTGATACAAAAAAATACCACTACAGTTAGGTTTAGAGAGGAGAGTATATAATCCCCTCCTCTCTCAGCATTCAAGAAAATCCCCCAAGCAATTTATTACACACATCTTTTAAAGAACCCTTTAAAGTTCAATTGAAGTACATAATCAAAAGTCTTATAATAATAAGACTAGTGATTCACTTCATATCTTTAAAGCAGCTTCCTGACTAAAAGATAAAGTAATCTCTTTCTTCCCCTTTCTGGATCCTCTACTTTCCCTAAGTAGAACATTTCTAGGTTAGTGACCTTCCAATTAACTTCAAGGTTAGTTACCTCTTGAACAACTACAGGTTAGTGACCTATATCAACTCACAGGTTGGTGTACCTTCTGAACAACCGTAGGTTAGTGACCTATATCAACTCTCAGGTTGGTGTACCTTTTGAATAACCATAAGTTGGTGACTTTGTAACAACCAGACTAGTGACCTTCACCTCACTCTTTAATCTGTTACTTTAATGATTAAAGGAGGGCCTTGGATCCAGCCTTTGTACTTTATAA